GCACATAGTGGGCTCACCCCCATACCCCTCACCCCCAAACCCTAATTCAGGAGAATGGGGAGTAGGAGGGGTGAGGCGCTAGTAGAAGCACTGGGGAACAGCGGGGAGGGCAGGGGAAGCTAGGAACGGGCCCACCACGGGCCTTGTACAGTCGCCCGAGCCGCGCGCAGGCGGCCCGAGCCGCGCGCGGGCCTGGCGCCGCCCGTACGGGCCGCGCGCGGGCCTGGCGCAGCCCGTACGGGCCGCGCGCGGGTTTGGCGCAACCCGTACGGGCCACGCGTGGGCCTGGCGCAGCCCGTACGGGCCGCGCGCTGCCTGTACGGGCCGCGCGAAGGCCACGACGGGCGACAGGGGGCGACGCGCGGGTCCCCGTCGCCCGTCGCGGCGCCTCCCGAGGGCGACGCGCCGAATGACGGGGCAGAAGCCCGCCGCGCGCCTCGGGGCGCACAGCTGGCAGAGAACCGCCGCGCGCCTCGGGGCGCACAGCGGGCAGAAAACCGCCGCGCGCCTCGGGGCGCACGGCGGGATGAAAAACTGCCGCACGCCCCGTGGCGTGCGGCACAGAGAGTAGTGGTAGCAGTTGCACCGGAAGCAAGGAGGTGGTAAGCCCACCCACAGGATCCATCCAAGGGGATCGACCTGCTCTGATAGCATGTCAAAATTTAGAAGAAAGAAGAGGATTGCACTAGCAAGAATGAGGATACTGTCGAAATATTTTGTCATGTTTTATAACTGCTTGTAGTTGTAGTTAGTGTAGTTATGTAAACTGTTGGTGGTGGTGCACCTTATTTGGTTTCTATGCTATTTGTACCCTTGAACCTATAGTGAAACCATCTTCATTCTCCAATTTCCCCTCTCAACTCACTCGACACCTTGCCTAGGTGAAAACCTGCTCGATACCTAAGTTCGGGCCTAGGCTACTAAGCCTAGGCCCCACCTCTTAACTCACTTATTCTCTCGACAGATACAAATAGCAAACCCTAGAAGGGCTGTACTCGCTATAGAGCACCCCATTATAGGCTAGAGCATAAGATAACATTCTGACAGAAGGAAGGGGGGGAGAGGTCACCCTCCGTTCACATTTTTGCCAGACCGGGTTCCCGATGGGCAGACCCGAGTTTGGCTGAGTTGTTCGAACGAGAAGTTTACCTTGGTTATAACTGAACCTTCATGTGTTGCCAAGTCGACCAAAAAGACACTTGAAGTTAATACGAAATCTACTAATCCACCAACGGTGCGGCGATGAGAACTCCAACAGAACAACACCTTGAAGACGACCCACCACGTCGATCCATTGACATTCAAGCCCCGAGCAAAGATCGCTGCATTTTGAGGATCACGTCGGCGATCCTTGCAGAACAGTGCCCCACCTACTACAGTACAATGATCACTGTGTCAGGCGGTGTACCAACAGAGGTGGGATCGGGAACATGTGTAGTCAATGCTACACAATCTTTGTGATGTCCGTAGGATCATCGTGACTGCCAATCTCTTAGTGATCTTGGCAACTCTGTACCAAAGACAGGGTGATCCTTGTTGACGAAAAACTTTCATTTTGCAATCAGGTCGTACATCTGAAAGGAAGTCGCATCAAATCAAAACATTTCGAAAATGAAAATCTCACCAATGAGGTTGTTTCGTCTCTGAATATTACACGACCAACATATGCACGCGAAGTATCAACGTTCGTGACTCGTTACGATGTCGCCTGGTCGCAGAGGATCACCAATGCAAAATTGGAGATTGTACATCAACGAGGATCCTTATGAGCCCACAAAATTTGTTGTTTTGCTACCAATGATCCTACGATTGGGGTGACGGTGATCTCAGCTAAGTGATCCTTGATAATGCGTCAGGTGTACCCCGCTCTTAGCTCTTTACCATTCATAAGCCCCGCCCTTTCGTAAATTCTTAGCTCAGGAGATCGATGCGCTTTTCCACCCCTCCGTGAAAGCCCTTCTTGTGGACCCGGAGTAAATATATTCTTTAATAACTGCCCGTTGGAGTAGTTAAGGCCCTGCATTCGAGGTCATATATAACTACTCTAGCTCCTCGGCGGTACGATGAGCAAGAAGGACGATGAGAAGCACGAGAAGATTATCCGCGGGTTGATGAAACTGCGCGAAAATAAAAATGCATAAACTGCAACCATCCGGTAATAATGCGTTTACCACAATTCCAGTAGCATCGTGAGGTAACCTCTTATGGCGTTTGCGAAGTATTTCGACGTAGTTTGGACGTAGTTTTGACGTCGGAGATTGACGTCGAGTGACGTCAATATTCTGACGACGATTGACGTCGAATGTGGCACTTTGAACACATTGCCGGCGACGAGCTGTCCGCTCCGGACAAATGCCGGCCTTAATAGTAACAATTGAATTGATATTGTCGAAGAGTTGAATTGGGACCCAAACCTGAAATCGCAAATGTCTTTTTCGAGCGCGTCTATTGGCTGCGAAAATCTCATCAGGACATGAAAATGTTTGCAATGGTCGAGATT